GACGAAACCTACGAACATGAAAACAAAAGAATAGTTAGTAAAGAGAAGAAAAAGCCACAAGAACAAAAGAAAAAAACTACACCTTAAATTATTATATTAGAATAACAGTACATATTCGTTGATAGCACATAATATTTTTCATTATAGATTACAAATATTTATTAATTATGACAATATTAATTATAACAATCTAATGACTATTATCTTAATTAATAAATACGATTATTATAATAATACCTAAATAAGCAAAAACATGATAAGTATAACACTCTCTAAAATAGAAACAAATATAGGTAACCAAAAAGTTAGATGGAACCATCTCTCTCACATTTCATATGATCATACTGGTATTATTAGTTATTTTTAGTAATAATACTTTATTATATAAAAGTCAAATAATTTTTTAGTATCAGTAAAGTATAAATCAAAATTAATCACTACAATACATCAACAGAATACTACAACCAACCCACTTATTATACCCTTTATGAAATACCCTTATATTATAATATAGTATAGCAAAATTTAACAAATAAGCAACTATCTTTCCTACCACTAACATATCTACATCTTATATTGTTACTATAAATCTAGATGAGGTCTGTTAGCCTACTCTAGTAGATTTTAAACTGAGAATAAAGTAGTTCTAACTGTAGGTTCCTATAGTAATTCATATAATTTATTCTACAAATATAATTATATAAATTATTTAATAAAGACTGAGGCTAGGCCTCACTTTAAAAAAAAATCAAATAAAATTAACAAACATTTTTTAGATAAATTTTTTATGTCAGTAAAAGGTTGAATTTAGATAAAACTGCTAAAGATTAATCTGGTTATTAACAGAAGCTTGAATTCATTTTTTAACCAGTTCAAAACTAAATATTTGTGAATAGAACCATGAATTATTTAGAGAATTAACATAGCATAATTCAAAAATAACAATACAATTAATTACTATATTCAAATAATTTATTGTTTAAGCCAAAATAATTTGAAAAAAAAATTATTCAACAAGAAAATCAAATAGCTAAAAAATTAATTTACAATATTTACAAAATCATAAAATATATACAGATAGGCAGATAATTCAGGTTAAGTTATGACCACCTGGATGGTCAACCTGCAGGTCATCTGTGGGTCAACTCATGGGTTACCCATAGATCATTCTATGGGTCACCTGCTAAAAGAATTTCTAAATATTGCCTATTCATTAGCTTTTTTTCAAATTAGTGTGAGCATTATAATATATATGAAGTGAAGAGTAAAGTTTATATCAGAGTAATCCAGATTGAATATTTATGATTTATTTTACTATGATTATCATAATTTTGGAACACCTGATAAAATTAGCCAGATGATTTTTCAGCAAATCTGGTTAAGTTAGTATCTTATCATAATTGATTCAATAAAATTACAAAATTAATATATATTGTAGGAATGAAAATTTGTAGGCTGTATTAGAAAAATTGCTAGGTTGATATAATAACTTACTAAAAAATACTAATACTAATAAAAATACTTTTAATAAAAATACTAAAACTACTTTTGTAAACTCTAATATTGATAAGCCAATGATTAAGACATGGAAAGACTTGGTTCAAGTAATCAGAGTTATTTGGATTGGAAGTGATAGTGTTGAGCTCAGATAAGTATCTTCTTATTTTTGTATTGTGATTTAGTCACTTTTTTTTTTACTTTACTAATATGTTACTTCACTTATTAGAGATTACTGCAGTGGTAGATTTGATTTTATGATATCATGTAGTCACAGAGTCATGATCCAGATCAGTTTATATGAGTAATAATTTTTAATAATGAGGTAATCACAAGTTTAATCAATTTATATTTAATATATAAGGGTCTGATTACTAATTATTATTATTCTTTTTTTTATTCAATATGAAAAACAAGAATACGATAGTTATAGAAAAAAGAAATTTGACAAATAACAAACAATTTATTAATTTAGAGAAAATATATTTTTAAAAAATTTATAAAAGGCAAACACTTATATTTAAGACCTAGAAGGTTTCAAACTTTATGAGTTATTTTTTATTAAAGGTAAATAATAAATATTTATATATATTTTTAATACATATAGAATAAATTTAACAAATTTAATTAATTTTGTCTTTTTAATTAATTTCTTTATTTTTTTTGATTTAGTTGATTTAACCAATTTACTTGATTTTACTCATTTACTCAATTTACTCAATTTAATAAATTTACTTAATTTAATAAATTTAATTAATTTAAAAAATTTTAAAAATTTAAAAATTAAATGATAGTACAATATCAATTTGCATATTATTACTAGATAGACTAAATTTAATACTCACATTTCATTTCTACTAAAAGAAGCATATTCTACAGGTTAAATTTGGTATAGATAATGAAATTTATTCTTTTTTAGCATGATGATCATAGAAAATGTAGTCTAGGTAGTTTGGTAAATTTGTTCAATTCTGAGGTTTGAACAAATAGTAGATTCTGGTTTTAGTTCTAATAAGGTAATTCTTGTACATTCTTAAAATTGTTATTTTCTCATTAGAAGTATATTGAAATATTTTAAAATATTTCAAAATATTTCACAATATTTCAAAATAATTCAAATTATTTTTAATATAAAGTAGTTTAGAATTTTTTCAAAATATTTTGAAATATTTCAAATTATTTTAAAATATTTTAAAATAATTTAAATTATTTTAAAATATTTAGAATTTTTTAAATAAATTCATTTTTAATTTATACTAATTTTAATTTATATATTTTATTTCGAAATATTTGTTTGAGAATTACTACGTTTAACCGGGGGGAATTTCCCGGTTACACGGATCAGTGATCTACACTAATACCCGGATCACTGATCTACATATATATTTATTTATTTTTCTTGTTTTTTGTATACATGGTTTTTTTTTTATTGGCATATTTAATTTAGTGGGTTCTTTTCTTTTATAGCGCCTATTTCTTTTAAACCTACCTTCTTTCCATTTCGTAGTTCTTCGATGTCGTCGTTTTTCGGTGTCGTCCTGTTTGGTAGTGTCGTTCTTCGGTGCTCTTCGTGTGCTTCATTTCGCTTGGGTCGTCGTATTTTGGTGCCATCATCGTTTTCCGTCATAATTGCTTGGTGTTATCGCATTCTCATGTTCGTAAGTTTCGCATTGCGTTGCGTCGTTGGGTCATCCATATAAGTATCGGTTTGGTTTTTTTCTTTTGTTCTTGTGGCTTTTTCTTCTCTTTACTAACTATTCTTTTGTTTTCATGTTCGTAGGTTTCGTCGTTACGTTGCGTCGTTGGGTCGTCCATATAAGGTATCGGTTTGGTTTTTCTTTTGTTCTTGTGGCTTTTTCTTCTCTAACTATTCTTTTGTTTGACGTT